ATATCATAATTTATAAAAATATTTTTATAATTATGATAGTCGCAAATATAAAACATAGAACATAGAAAATATTGAAACTCACTTAGATCTTTTGAGATACTTTCAAAAGATTATATATTTCGTGGGTCGGAATTAGCATTCCTCTTTCAGAATCATATGGCAAGCAGAACCATAACCCAACTATCATATGATCAGTTCAGTATTTGTCATTTTACAGTATGTGTCGTTTAACAACCACTGAATTTGTTGAAGTAGTGACAAATTTTTACAGTTTTTGATGAGAATTGGTGAAATAACAACAAATAAAATAATCATATCTGGGATATTGAAAATCCATAAGTAACGGTCTTAAGTTCATTGCATCCAGGAAAACACATTTTATAGTGTAGTAATTGGTCTAAAGATGAAAAGTTTTTTCTTAAACCAATGAAGATTTGACACAAATAGTTAATTCTGATCGTTACTGAATCTAATACTGATCATTACACATTATCCAATTTTTTTTTTAACGTGAAGTTGAAGATATGGACGTGGAAGCCATGTAATTCTAACAGCACCATGTGATTTTAACAGCACCATTTATTTCAGTTTTAATACGTCAGAGATATACCGGACGTGTAATTTCAAGTTTTGATGATGTAAATCGGTCACCAAGATCATATGATTTGTAACCACTGGCCAGGAACATATAGTCCCCCTTCGAAAAACTTTATATATATATTCATTATTAATCCTTTTTGTTATGACTGCATGTTAAAAAAATGTTGACACGATCCAGCATTGTATTTGAAATCCTCGCCAAAGAATTGTTTTTAGTTTACGAACCTGCTGCGATTAAATTTTTGGCTACGATCCTGTCAGTGACCTTTTTGTGGGTTTATGATTATATTTACGATTGTGTTTACTTGGACAAATGTAAGCTTTTGACACTTTAAAATCGAACATCCATCAAGTTATGTTCGAACTATTGTCAGCCTAAAAGTCATCAAAAATAATATCAAAAGGAACCAGAATTGTTAGATGTACTGAGGAAGATACTCAAATAATCTAACATTTTATACCTAATATTTAACAATATTGTTGCATTGTGTTGAAGTGATAACCTTGTGCACTAACAGTCACTTAAGTGAAAGTAATCACGGCTTGTGATACTATAGATCAGACACTTCCATAACTCAGAGTCCTGAAGGAACACCTTCCGAAATATCTAGTACACAAACAGCGTCCTTTAGTGACGCATGACACACTCATTCTTATTAAACGGAATGAGTGTGTCACTTTTACACAATAAAGTCTGTAATCAATTGGGTGATTCACTATAATAAGTGTTCCTTTGAAATATGATAATACTCATACACAGTGGATGATATCTTATAAATATCTTATTTATAGTAATTTTAGTACTACAAATCAAAAAAATGCTTTAAGATAAAAGATTTTAAAATTTGGAGCAATAAATTTAAAAAAACGATCTATTTGAATGTTTGTTATAGCTATTCTGCAAGCACTGTATCAAACGTTCCATTGAAAGGTGATTATTCATGCCAGATGGAATATATGGAATATATATTGTATTTATTTTAAGAGAGCAAAATTCTATATTATTGTTAGCTTTCTCAGAATCACATAATTTCAGCGCTCTGGCTTTGATGTACTTTTGCACAATCTCGATTCTCAAGTCTATTTCTTGTATATCTATTTATTGTATATCTTTATGTCTGATATAGAATGGAGCTTTAAGCATAGGTTAGCTTACGTTATACCGGCGATCCCAGTGGGATCCGCTTAGGCCTATAGACCCATTATGCTACCGTATTATAAAAAATCCAATGGCTAAAACCATCTAGAACCTTTGTCAAAGCTTATGATACTATTTAAATGGAGTTCTTTAAGATCATCAAAAAAGAAAGCCTCTAAAATGTTAAGCAGCGCCGCGCATGTGCTGGATTGAAACAATGCAGATGGGAGGCACCTGCATCATCCTCCCCACAACTGCGGCAGATATGGTTGAAAGGGATATTTAGTCTCCTAGCATCGTTACCCAGATTACAATGACCTGTTAGCTTTTAGCATAAGAGTCAATATAATATTCTCATAAGACATACAACCATAAAGTAGTTTACTTTAAAGTAGCATAATTATTTGCAAAACTATATACTATCTAAGACTGCTTTAAAAAACTGCCCAACAAATAATATAATAGCCTGTTTTATATTCTATTAAACGACATAAATTTGTTAAATGGCACTCCAAACATGGAATCGCATTTTTGCATACTAGCCGAACTAATTAGATACATTTTAATCACAAGTAAATATAACAAAATTTATTGAAAGCTATTAAATTTGTATCTAAGGCTCAAGGGCAACGCGTCTACGCTATTTCTATGCTGTATCTTTCGTAAGCGCATAATTCGCTCTGCTCTGCTCTGCTCTGGTATACCAGTTCCACTAGTTTCGCACGAAAGTGGAAGTGAAGTGGAATTTCTCTTTCGATTTATTTTTATTTTCATGATTACGAGATTTGCTCCGCTAACTTCAGAGATAAATTAGAAAAATATCTGTTCATTTTAATGGGTGCAGTTCCACTTTTCCACTTCTGATGCGTTTGATGGGGAGGTACAAATAATCCACTTCACTTACCGTTGGCTAATTTGCATAAATTCGTAAAGAGGAGCGTGGCGATGAGAAGAAATGAAATTTTACTGCTCAAATAGCAGCGATGGAATTTTTGTTGTTTCGGTTGTTTTGGTGGTTGTAGACCTTGCCAATCCGCTGAAGCTCGACTTCCGTTAGCACTAAATTTTATTAATATCATTTTTGTATTTTATGATTGACTACGTGGTGGTCAACTGGTTGAATGAGCTGAAAATCAACTAATTCGCAACATGAAATTTCACACAAATTATTTTGCATTAATTAATTAATTTCACTTATTTTCATTTCCATGCATAATAACAAAACAATTTTACTTATTATAATTATAAACTTTTATTGTGATTATTTAAAATATGCATGTATTTTTTATTTTTTTTTTTTTCTTGCTTTTTCAGTTAACTTTCTTATGAATCACTTTGCTGGTTTGCCCATTAAGACACCGTCATCGCACCACGGCGCACCGCGTTTCCTCATCAACGTTGTTGTTGCTTTTTGCGGATCGGCGAACGCTTTAAACACAAACTGGTTTCTGTACTCATGTGCGGTTGTTTCTACGTTTGCTGCCAATCCGAAAGACAGACTTTGAAGACAGACTTAAGACTTAAGCTTTAAATCCAACCACTCGCGCTCACGGCTCTTCTTTGACTGAATTGAACCATACACGCTCGACTTTAAACTCAAACGCACAGGCGAAACCGAAAATTGGAGAAGTATACCACCCCACCACTCTGAGAGTTCATTTCGACTATGTTGACTTTGTCTCACTGTTTAGCCGGAAGTCTTGAAATCGTGAGTAGATTTTTTAAATTGACTTACAATATAAACATTATTATTTAGTGCATTGGAAAATCTACTTTAGTTTATAAACATTAAAAAAAAAACATTAAATAAAAAGTGAAAAAAAACAAGTTAATAAAAATTTTAATACAGACACAAACTTAAAAATGTAGTAGAAAAGTTCAATGCCCTCGTTATTTCTTCTTATTTTTTATGTGACTTGCTAAGTTGATCCCTCCAAAACAGGAAAAATAATCTGGTGATGCCATTCTAATGTTATGTAAAGATATCCTTCATGTTGAATTTGCTTATAGGGTATTCTCGGTTTGAAACACTGCAAGGAGATTGAGTCTAACCCAAGGTGCTAAGCAGATGAAAAAAGTACTTTATATAGGCTTAACCTTTACTCAGTGCATGTGCAGTGTTAGGCTTACTTTCTGGAGAAACTTAATCAAATTTAAATAAGAAAAAATCCAATAATCTCATTCAGATGCAACGCAGAGATATCCTACTTGGTAGACTTGTTAGTGGCTCATTGTCGGTTTGAAAATATTGTTAGGAGATAGCATCTTTCTGAAACTCTCAACTGAAGATGAAGAGAGTGCTTTATAGATGTTTTGTCATTATTTAGTGTATGTGCAGTGTAGCGTTTACTGCAGAAGCTTAGTCAAATTCAAATAGGATAAAATCTAATAATCCCATTTATACGCCCTTTACAGATAACCCTTATGGTGAATTTGCATCTCGCCGAAGCTGTTATAAACATGAAAAAAGTGCTATACATATAATTTCAAAGCATGTGCAGCATAGAACTTACTTTCCGAATAAACTTAATAAAATTCAAAGCCTGTTAATGCTAAATTAAAGGTTTAAAATGATTTAAGATCTCCGTGATTTATATGATAATAAAATAGATCGATATACGTTATTAAACAATTGGAATCACCATACATACTACTATAACTTAACCTGCGTATGTGAAATATTATGGTCAATAACGACTAATGAGAAATGAGACTAATGTGTATATTTTATGTCCGAAAATTGTTATTAAAGTCTACTTGAATTCATAGTAGCTGCACTTAAGAATCAGCAGATGCTACGTTTACCCCCGAACCAAAAAAGATTTTTGAGTACAAATCAGCACATATCTGATCTGTAGATAAAGACAAAGTATGACAAAAAAACAAACACGCATTATTAATTGTATTAATAAATATATAAGAACAATCCAGAAAATGTAGAACAATAACCCAAAGATATATAAGAATGTT